TCTTTAAGTTTACTCTGGTGATAATGTTATCTGTGGAAAGTTTCTCGTTCTGATCTCTTTTGTTTTGCTCAGAAGAGATCATCCTGTAGGAAAGCATTGCTCACATACTGAGCAAACTGGTCAGAGAAAGCTCCATGAGCTGATTTTAAGTTCTATTTAAAGCTGACACCCACACATGCCCATGAGGTTTTTTTTTTGTCAACATCAAGATTTTAAATTAAAATAAATCTAAATATAAGGGAATATGTGTATTTTAGGTGCTGTAAAGTTGTTCACGATTTTAATCACACTTCATTTTAATAGTCTATCTGGCATGGTGTTACTTTTTAACATATTCTCAATAAATACAGTACTTTTGTCATAAAAAATGCATGCATAATAATTATAAAGGATTTTGCATGCTCTTTGAAGACCTTTAGTAGTTCTTCTAACGTATCAGGCTGTAAAACCTTTTGGAACCCACAAGATCCTGTAAGAACTTTATGGACACTCATAGGTTCCTCTCTCAACCCCATAATAACGTTAAGAGCATTTGAGCAGCTTGAAATGTACATTGACGTTCCTTAAAATATTATATTTGAGGAACCTTCACGGCATGCCTAGATGTTCATATACCTGCAAGAAGTGGATAAAAGCGTCAGTGACAAAATATTAAAGTTATTATTTACTTGAGTCTAACTTACCTTAAACTCAGCCGAGAGTTGAGGAGTGTATTGAAAAGTCCAGAGCGCTCGGACCAAAGACGCGAGCCGTTCCGTAACCTCTCCTTTCTCCTGCTGACCGTTCTCATTCTTTATAAACCCGTTCATTGCCCTGTGACACAGGTCCCGTTTATATCGCTCCAAACACAGGTATTCAGCGAGCAGGTCCGTGTTGCTCAAGCACTGCACGACGGCGTTCATGAAGCAGGTGTTCCCGTGATTCTTCAGACCCAGCACGCCTGGCGTTTTATCCCCGTACAGCGAGAACAGTCGCTCTTTCGCGGAGGAACTTTTCCTCACCTGGCTGCTGTCCTCTTGTATCACATGTCCCGGGTTTCCAGCGCAAGGTGCGCTTTTTCCAAACCCACCATCATCCTCCTCAGCGTCCGACCGCTCGGTTGTTTCTCCGCCGCTAGCCAAGCTCCCCAAACTTTTCAAGATCTTATTCACCAAACTTTCCACGGGTTTAAACGATTTCCTCCGGAACAGCTTCCCTGTGCGTTTCGAAGAGTCCTTTTTCGCTTTCTTGTCGCGTTTATCCATATTTCTTGCTGGATTACTAAACCGTTCAAGCCCACAGAGTGTTGTTATCCTCACCTGACGCTGCGTCGGTATCCAGCATTGCGGACGGACAGCAGCGGTTTCTCACGCATCTTACGCTCGCCGTGAAGGAATGATTGACAGGTAGCACGCGTGTGACGTCATAGCGGCAGGCGGTTAGGAACGAACGACTGAATGATTGACATTTCTCCTCAAACCGCGGTCAGCGCGAGCGCTCCTGGAACTTCATGCGAGCGATGGAATGATTGACAGGCAGAGCTGTCAGTACGGCAAGCCAGCGTACAAATGATACAGTGACTTTGAGCAAATTGTAATGTTGCGCCACTAGCTCATAAATGTCGAATATCTGAAATCTCATTTTTGACGAACCAAAAAGTTTTATTTTATTTCTATGATAAAGTGATGCGTATTGCTTGGCATGCTATCAAAACTATAGCATTGCTTTATTATTATTAAAAGCCATGTTTAAATATCTATCTATCTATCATCTATCTGTCTATCTGTAGGCTGTCTGTCTGTCTATCTATCTTTCTAGCTATCTAGCTGTATATATGTGTCGTCTATCTATCTATCTATCTATCTATCTATCTATCTATCTATCTATCTATCTATCTATAGGCTGTCTATCTATCTATCTATCTATCTATCTATAGGCTGTCTATCTATCTTTCTAGCTATCTGTAGGCTGTCTGTCTGTCTATCTATATTTGTTGTCTGTCTATCTATCTTTCTAGCTATCTATCTAGCTATCTGTAGGCTGTCTATCTATCTATCTATCTATAGGCTGTCAGTCTGTCTATCTATCTATCTATCTGTAGGCTGTCAGTCTGTCTATCTATCTATCTATCTATCTATAGGCTGTCTATCTATCTTTCTAGCTATCTGTAGGCTGTCTGTCTATCTATATTTGTTGTCTGTCTATCTATCTTTCTAGCTATCTATCTAGCTATCTGTAGGCTGTCTATCTATCTATCTATCTATAGGCTGTCTGTCTGTCTATCTATCTATATCTGTCATCTGTCTTTCTGTCTATCTATCTATCTATCTATCTGTAGGCTGTCAGTCTGTCTATCTATCTATATCTGTCGTCTGTCTTTCTGTCTATCTATCTTTCTAGCTATCTAGCTGTATATATGTCGTCTGTCTGTCTATCTATCTATCTATCTATCTATCTATAGGCTGTCTGTCTGTCTATCTAGCTATATATGTCGTCTGTCTTTCTGTCTATCTATCTATCTATCTATCTAGCTATCTGTAGGCTGTCTGTCTGTCTATCTATCTACATTTGTTGTCTGTCTGTCTGTCTATCTATCTATATCTGTCGTCTGTCTTTCTGTCTATCTATCTTTCTAGCTATCTAGCTGTATATATGTTGTCTGTCTGTCTATCTATCTATCTATCTATCTTTCTAGCTATCTGTAGGCTGTCTGTCTGTCTATCTATCTATATCTGCCGTCTGTCTTTCTGTCTATCTATCTTTCTAGCTATCTGTAGGCTGTCTGTCTGTCTATCTATCTATATTTGTTGTCTGTCTGTCTGTCTGTCTGTCTATCTATCTATATCTGTCGTCTGTCTTTCTGTCTATCTATCTATCTAGCTATCTAGCTGTATATCTGTCGTCTGTCTTTCTGTCTATCTATCTATCTTTCTAGCTATCTAGCTGTATATATGTTGTCTGTCTGTCTATCTATCTATCTATCTATCTTTCTAGCTATCTGTAGGCTGTCTGTCTGTCTATCTATATTTGTTGTCTGTCTATCTCTGTCTTTCTGTCTATCTATCTTTCTAGCTATCTAGCTGTATATATGTCATCTGTCTGTCTGTCTATCTATCTGTAGGCTGTCTGTCTGTCTGTCTATCTATCTATATTTGTTGTCTGTCTGTCTGTCTGTCTGTCTGTCTATCTATCTATATCTGTCGTCTGTCTTTCTGTCTATCTATCTATCTAGCTGTATATGTCGTCTGTCTGTCTGTCTATCTATCTATATTTGTTGTCTGTCTTTCTGTCTATCTATCTATATCTGTCGTCTGTCTTTCTGTCTATCTATCTTTCTAGCTATCTAGCTGTATATATGTCGTCTATCTATCTATCTATCTATCTATCTATCTATCTATCTATCTATCTATCTGTCTGTCTTAATCGAGATTGCTCTAACGTATGTGTATGTAGAGCCCCCTGCTGTTTAAATGTCAGAGGTGTCAAGTATGGTTGAATGCTCCTCATGTAGCTCTAGTGACCAGCCATTGACCTGATCTAATGAATAGACCACAAAGACAAAAGTTTTCAAAATTTGAAAATAAATAAATAAAATATTTATGGATGTTGTTATCACCTCTGATTATTTAATATCGCTCCATCACCTCCAAGATGTTGGCACTGTGTCCTGTTACCATATGTCTTTAGCTGGCCTTTGAGTAACCCCACACCTTCACTGGTTTATCATCACCTCTTGTGGACAGAGAACAGACACTCAGTCAGAGCAGATTTCACATCAATGGTGTTTCCCCGGTTATCTCGTCACTGCCACAGAGACAGTATTTTGTCACAAAACCAGACCACCTACAGTTTTCCCATTTCTCCAGCATTCAAACTGCCAAACCGCTGATGTGGTTTTAAACTCATTCTGTCCTCTTTACATTTGAACGATCAGAGGAGATGAATGTCTAGGATAATGGCCAAAATGATCTTATTTTTAGATTTCCGGTTCTTTGCGCTTTATTCTACTGAGATCTTATATGCAAAATGAGTTCAAAGTACTGAACATGCAGAGCTTAAAGACTTTTTGTGTGGATAAATGTCTCTAGGTTGGCAGCTATCTCTTTCAGTGTGCCATCCCTTCGCAAACGAGCATATTCAAAGATATTTTTATCTTCGGAGGTACATTTACTTGCTTCCTTCCTTTCTTTTAGTTGCTTCTATGTGATCAAAGACACAGAACAATGCAGAAAAGCATGACATAACCACTAACCAGACTGTTTGCATGTGGACTGGAAAATGAGAAGAGAAGTTATAAGTTTTAATTTACCAGAGTAATTCTGTCTAGTCTGGTTTGCAGAGCAGCGTCATGGTTATCTAAATTTTTTATTACTGTACTATAGTGGTCTGACAAAAAAAACAAAAACATTACAACATTGTGATATAGAAAAGATAAAGAAATATGGGCACAAAGGCAGAAATACAAATTTAGACAGGCAAACACAGGAAACACCCCTTAGGCAGAACTTTGCTTTTGCATGCAACACTGTATGGAATTTCAGAGAACTAGTTTATCATTGGTTGATCCACATTCTCTTCATTAGTGAAAGTCAAGATTTACCTTCACAATTCATGGCACATTTACTAAAAGACTAATAGAAATGTGTAGAAAATATGCTTGACAGTTTATGACAACTAGATCAACCATTTTGCATTTAATGACTTACACGATGAACTAATGACTAAATGTTCTGGGGGATAAGACTGTTGCACAGAGAACTATATAATACATTTTGAGCAACATGACAACAGCAACTGATAATGCAGGAAACCGCAGACAAATGTACATAATCAATTGCATGAATGTACCAAAGCAATCGCAACTTGTTCAAAAAAATGAGAAACTGCTTTTATGATGTGCACAAGTGACTAGATGATGTGGAGGTTGAACAAGTAGTTTTGAGAATTTCATTTCTGATCTGAGAAATGCACCAAAGCGACTGAGAAAAACTGTAAACGTCTAACATTAACCTCAACTGTTTTGAGAGGATCAAGAGAGACCTCGGGGATGAAAAATCAACATGATTATGGGGTCTGCTGAATCCAAAAACAATCATTATCTCTAAACAGCCATGATAACATGCTGCTAACACAGCACTGCGAATGCAACTCTATTAGCAAGCTGTGCAGACCAAACAGATTTACACCAAATACTGATAATGAAGGAGCTTTACTTTCTACTGAAAGGAATAATCCCATAAAAATAGTTCAATTCTTTCTTTCTTTTATGAAAATTACTCATCACACAGAGAGAAATTCAACATGAATCCTAGTGTGAAGAAACAACAAAAAGAAAAAATGAATCCATGGTATGAGTATCAGGGAAAAAGTGATTAAATTAAATTAATAAAGTGAAAAATATTAATTTAGAATAAAAATATTTCTAAAATATTATATTGAGAAAATACAGAAAATAAAGCATCTGTGTTTTTAACCAACATTTCCTTTAAGGTAACAATATGCACCTTTAGGGACAAAGATGTACCTTTTGAGAAGGTACTGCCCCAGTGACAGCTTTTGCACACAAGAAAAAAAAAATATTTTCTTTAATAGTACTGTAGGTGTGTATCTAACATTTCTGATTATATGGGCTCTAAGGCTTGATGTGAGTTGTTTGACTTGCACTTGGGTGTTGCAGACTGAAGCTTTGTTCTCTGTTACGGTTATGCATTCATTGGTTCTGGGAAAGATGCCTGTTGCCCCATACTGTGAATGTTTACCATCAGTATCAGCATATTTCACTAGTACAATATGCTAGACTGCAATCTAATCTTTTTTTTCCAGACTGAAAGGCATAAACACTTCTAAAATCTCACCGCACAGATATTTATGTCATGACATCCATATCACTAATTTTAGATATCACTGTCATTGAACCTTTTGCAGATTATTAGATGAGTATGGCTGTCTCTGTGCTGCTGAATCCTTTGTCGATGCAATTAGATCAGACTCTAAATCCAGGTAAACTCTGGGTCTACCTGTTTGACTGAACAATGGAAGACGGGGGAAGTGCTTCAGAAACCTATTTGAATACAGTCATTATTTTTGAAGTTCTCACTTACAGAAGCTTTCATTTCATCAAAATAGATCTAAAGATAGTGATATGCGAGGTGCACGTCAATATGGGTTAGCTTAGGGTGCCCACTCGTGGTAAATCAAGGTAGCCTAAGCAAGAAAGAGACATTGCCATAGCTATTATTTCTGTTTTGGTTGAATGACTGCTCTGTTGTGGCTAACACTAATGGAGTGAACCTGAAGTGTAGGTAAAATAGCATCAGTTTCTCTTCCCTTAATTGGTGGCCTTAAAAGCCCTTGTAAAATGAAATCGGAATGCATCCTGCCCTGTCAGGTCCTCAGTGTTTGTTCTTCCAATGCAGTGAAAATAACTTGAAATGACTCAATTAAGTGAAAATTATTCACTGAAAGAAGAAAACTGCGGACTGAACTACTCATGGTTTATGAATATACTTAG